GGTAATGGTTAGGTTAGGGTTAGGTATGTACTGGTAATGGTTAGGTTTAGGACTAAGGCGTGAATTGACGATGGTTTAGTGTTAGGTATGTATTTGTAATGGTTAGGTTTAGGGTTAGGTATGTAGTGGTAATGATTAGGTTTAGTGTTAGGTATGTATTTGTAATGATTAGGTTTAGTGTTAGCTATGTACTGGTAATGGTTAGGTTTAGTGTTAGGTATGCATTTGTAATGGTTAGGTTAGGGTAAGGGTCAGAGTTGGGCTATAGACATGAATAAAAAATTAATTGAAGTCAATGCAAAGTCACCGTAAAGATAGAAAGACAAACGTGTATGTGTGCGTGCTACATAAATGAAGAGGACGATAAATAGGGGCGAGGTTTATGATTTATGGTTTGATGCAGAATTAAACTTGATTTCTTCAAACTGAGCTTGTTCAAAGAGCTACCTACAACAGAGAGGATATTGACTCTTCATAACCTTAGACCCCTACTTCAAAAAGCTCTGACTCATTGGATTGACGTCTCCATCTATTTAACTTGTGGAGTCAACCAACTCATGATGGCTGCCATGAACACAAAAATAGTTAGAACTCCGTCAGTTTTACATATATTGAGCTACAAATTGTTTTAGTCATAGCTAGCATTGAATCACAACACAAACTGTAAGCACTAAGATTATTGAAGATGACACAAGTGTTGCATGAGATTGAGCATATAGTTATTGTCAAGACTGGACCCAGTTAGCTGTAAGGTTGTGATTCTCCATATAAGATGAAGTTATTTTAAATCACTGCTCTGGATTATCCTGAGTGTCCAGAGGAGTGGTTGGAACATGTTCAGACTGTACATTAAAACACTTATATCAAGCAATAAATAGTTTGTTCTCTGTGTAGACAAACATAAATGTTTTCTCTGTACACCAGAACCAGTGAACATCGAAGGGAATGCAGAGTTAGCGCGAGTGATTGGACTCGTGCCCTGGATGGATTATGAATTTCAGGTGATCGCCAGCAACATCCTGGGCAGTGGAGAGCCCAGCATCCCGTCCCACACCATTCGCACACAGCAAGCAGGTGAGATGTGACACATCTATCACAGAACATAAGGCTAGAACCAGACCAGGTCCCGCAGAACCAAAGGTCTTTGGGTCCGCGCTCTGAAAGCCACTTGTAATAGGAGCTTTCCTTTTTATCTGTCTGGTGCAAAGTAAAAGGCCTTGAAACAACATCTAGCTTGATTAAATGTTTTGTATCTCAGAAAATGTAAAACAGTAGGGGAGGGATGGATATATATATATATATATATATATATATAT